GAGACACTAAGCAGTGAGACTGTGGTGTTGGGTACACCAACAGAAATATAGCCAGTGAGCCTGGAGGAGACAGCTTTGTATATCTTGAGAAAAAGTCAAAACTCTATTCTTCTCATCAGTAAGTCAGCATTAAAAAAAAAATAAAAGCACTCAATTATCAATCTGCAAAAGCAGGCAAACAAGGGTTTTAAACAATGAAATAATATGGTCAGATCTGTGCTATGAGCACAATTGGAGGGATCATTTAAGATGTTATTAATGTAGTAAAGAAAGAGCTGATGGAAGCAATGGTAGTGGAAATGGACTCGTTTTGAAATGTAATTGAGTGCCTTAAGCATTTGTCTGAGTGGTAATGAGTTAAGGAGTGCAAGAAATCAAAGGTGACCCATGACTCTGGGTTCATTTTTGGCTAACTAGGTGCAGAGTGGTTCTGACCACCAGAAGAAGGCTGGAGAAGGAAGAACAGGTAGCATTGGGGTTGCTCTGAGTATTGTGGAAGGGCTCTGTAAAGATAATGAGTTCTACAAGAGTGCTTCAATCTTTGCTTCCCTTTTCCTTTCCCTGGCCTCTTGTAGCCCATCAGGGCACGTGACCTTCAGGCCAACCTGCCCTATGCTTCCTGGCCTAGATGCTCCTCCCTGTGGCTGGTTCCTGGTATTCGGTATGAACCCAGATTTACCTTTCTCCTTTAGACAGGGACCTCACTCTCCTATGCATCTTTCACACTAAATAAAAACTAAATGTAAAAAAAAAAAAAAAGAGTGCTTCAAAAAGTTGCAAATTGAATAAAAACCATTGATTGTCTCAATAAATGCAGAGAAGGCATTTGAAAAAATACAACGTCCTTTGATGATAAAAACCTTAAGCAAATTGAGTATAGATGGAACATTCCTTAACATAGTCAAGGCACTATATGACACACCCACAACCAGCATCATATTGAATGGGGAAAAGTTGGAAACATTTCCACTAAGATCTGACAAGACAAAGATGTCCACTTTCACCACTACTATTAAATATAGTTCTGGAAGTTTTAGCCAAAGTTATTAGGCAAGAAGAAGCAATCAAAAGGATACAAATTGGAAAAGAGGAAGTCAAATTATCCCTGATTGCAGATGACATGATTCTATATATAGGAGACTAAAAGATTCCACTAAAAGACTATTAGAACTCATAAGGGAGTTTGGTAAAGTTGCAGGATATAAAATCAACACACAAAATCAATAACATTTGTTTATAGACAATGCCATGGCTGAGAAGGAACTTGTAAGATCAGTACCATTGGCCGGCGCCATGGCTCACTTGGTTAATCCTCCACCTGCGGTGCCAGCATCCCATAGAGGGGCCGGGTTCTAGTCTCGGTTGCTCCTCTTCCAGTCCAGCTCTCTGCTGTGGCCCGGGAGGGCAGTGGAGGATGGCCCAAGTGCTTGGGCCCTGCACCCGCATGGGAGACCAGGAGAAAGCTCCTGGCTCCTGGCTTGGGATCAGCGCAGTGCACCCACCATAGCAGCCATTTTGGGGGTGAACCAACAGAAGGAAGAGCTTTCTCTCTGTCTCTCACTGTCTAACTCTGCCTAATAATAAAAAAAATCAGTACCATTCACAATAGCTAGAAAAAAATGTAAATGCCTTAGAATAAATTTAACCAAGGAGGTAAAAGATTTCTACAATGAAAATTACAAAACATTAAAGAAAGATATAAAAGAAGACACACAAAAAATATCATCAAAATGTCCATACTAGCCAAATCAATTTACAGATTCAGTGTGATCCCAACAAAAATACCAACAACACTTCTCAGATCTAGAAAAAAAAAATTGATGCTAAAATTCATATGGAAACTTAAAGAGATACCAGAATAGCTAAAGCAATCATACAACAAAAACAAAGATGGAGGAATCACAACACCAGGTTTCAAGACATACTATAGGGTAGTTATAACCAAAACAGTCTGATACCAGCACAAAAATAGACATGTAGACAAATGGAACAGAATAAGAATCCCAGAAATCAATGCACATATCTACAACTAACTAATCTTTGGCAACGGAGCTAAAATCAATCCCTGGAGCAAGGACAGTCTCTTCAACAAATGGTGCTGGAAAAATTGGATCTCCACATGCAGAAGAATGAAACATGACCCATACCTTACAATTTATACAAAAATCCACTCAAAATGGATCGAGGATCTATATTCTACTACCTGATACCATCAAATTGCTAGAGAAAAACTTCAGGGAAACTCTGCAAGACTTTGGCATAGGCAAAGACTTCTTGGAAAAAACCCTAAAAGCACAGACAATCAAAGCAAAAATAGAAAAATAGGATTACATCAAACTAAGAAGCTTCTGCACTGCACAGGAAATAGCAAAGTGGGGAAGCAAACAACAGAATGGGAGAAAATATTTGCAAACTGTGTAACTGATAAAGGATTAATATCCAGAATCTATAAAGAGCTCGAGAAACTCAACAACAAAACAAACAATCCAGTTAAGAAATGGGAAAAGAACATGACCAGGAATTTTTCTTTTTTTTTTTTTAAATATTTATTTATTTATTTGAAAGTCAGAGTTACACAGAGAGAGGAGAGGCAGAGAGAAAGGTCTTCCAGCCAATGATTCACTCCCCAATTGACTGCAACGGCTGGAGCTGTGCCGATTGCAAGCCAGGAGCCAGGAGCTTCTTCCGAGTCTCTCACAAGGTACAGGGGCCCAAGGACTTCGGCCATCTTCTACTGCTTTCCCAGGCCATAGCAGAGAGTGGGATTGGAAGAGGAGCAGCTGGAACTAGAACCGGTGCCCATATGGGATGCCGGTGCTTCAGGCCAGGGCATTAACCTGCCGAACCACAACTCCAGCCCCCAGGAGTTTTTCAAATGATGAAATTCAAATGGCCAACAGACACATGAAAAAATGCTCAGGATCACTAGCCATCAGGGAAATGCAAATCAAAACCACACTGAGGTTTTACCTCAACCCAACTAGAATGGCTTTCATACAGAAATCAAAGAACAATAAATGCTGGTGAGGATGTAAGGGTAAAGGCACCTTAATACGCTGTTGGTGGGAATGTAAGTTAGTACAACCATTATGGAAGATAGCATGGAGATTCCTCAGAAATCTGAAAATAGATCTACTATATGACTCAGCCATCCCACTCCTGAGAATTTACCCAAAGGAAGTGAAATCAGTGAATAAAACAGTTATCTGTACCCTATGTTTATTGTAGCTCAATTCACAATAACCAGATGTCCATCAACTAATGACTGGATAAAGAAAATGTGGCATATATATATATATATATATATACACTATGGAATACTACTCAGCCATAAAAAGGAATGAAATCCTGTCTTTTGTAACAAAAATGGATGCAACTGGAAACCATTATACTTAGTGAAATATATGACAAATATATTTGTTGTATATAAGACAAATATATGATTTCCCTGATCTGTGGTAACTATTAGAGTACAAAAAATGTAATGTGAATATGCAAAATTGCCATTTTGAGATTTAATTATTGTTTAAAGCCCTTTTCTCTACTGTTGAAGAACAGAGCTTTTTCTTCTTACTATTTGTTGAATTCTTTACCTAGTAGAGGGTTCAGCTCATGATTATAAAATAAAATGAAAGTATGTCATTGTAAAATTTAAAGAACTTTTGAAAGAGGAAGGAGGAGGGAGGGTGGGAGTTGGGTAGGAGAGAGGATAGGATGGGAAGTATCACTATGCTGCTAAATCTGGATATATGAAATTTGTTCACTTAATATAAATTTTAAAATTACAAAGTGAGTAGAAAAATTGAATTAAAAGATGAATTTAGTGCAGAAAGTTAAAATACATGTATAATTTTTTCATAATATTCATTTTTCCTGAAGTTTCTGAAGACTCCTCCTATTTTAAGCTTGAGGGACCCAACTAGGTATTTCCAACAGATACTTGTGTAAGTTTGGGGCTCGGGCTTGGAAATATAATAGGGAGTCACTAGCATGGTGGTCAGTTAATTTTGCATCTGGCTAACTCTATTGCAGTCATTACAATAAGAATGAAAGCAACAAAGATGAATAACAAATGACCCTTTCTGAAGCTTAGTAAGGAACAAAGACACATTTATTGATTGTACCTAATTTTCTAATATATCAGGTTATGAATATAAAAGACTTTATATACCAGAGCTTTGTCAATACAGACTTCACTTACCTTATTATTTTAAGTAGCTCTTGATAATTCTTAAGAAAAGCAATTACTAAAGAAATTTATTACTAATACAGTATGCTTTTATGTTCCAAGGATGTGATTATAAGTTTATTTCCAGCTGGAAATCAGTTCATTGTAACATCAGTATGCTCTTTTTACCATATTTTGTAAAGAACAGATTTTTTTAATACTTCCTGAATCAATGAAGATTTGGCAGCACTTGCGTCATTTAGGTAGAAGGAGGATTGCTCAGACAGAGTTCTTGCTTTCACTCCTGTAATATATCAGAATAAGCATGTAAATATATCACATAGGCACATCTGGCTTGCGGTAGGAAACGATGGTAAAAAACTACATGTGTGAGGAAGTCCCCATGGTTACCCTAACCCCAAGTTCAGGAATTCTCTGATGAAAAAGAGTGATATTTCTGAATCCTAGTTTAAAAAAATTATAGGGACTGGAATCATACACAAAATTATCTCATGAAAACAAAGTGAAAAGCATGATTTGTTATTTAAATCCATAGTTAGCTACATAGTTCTCTGGCAACCAGCCCAAGTTTTGAGCAAGTGACATATACAGAGAATAAACTGGAAGATTCTGATGTCTCCTGGAAAAAAAGGAAACACTGAATACAGTTTTTCAGAAGTGCACACTGAACTATATTCACCACCTTTTCTAAAATGGATGTGTTCACATGACGGATGCAGCTATGTATCCTGTGATTTCCTTGGAATGGAAAATGTCAAACCTCATTATTGGAAGGACTCCAAATGACATCTTTTTTTCTGTTATTAAACAGGGAAGGCCATGGTAAAATTTCAGTATTTGCTGTCAAAATGGCTTTAGCCACATTGTGCGGAGGGAAGATCATGGACAAATTAAGATGTAAGTCATTCTTTGTGTCTCTCTTTGTGTACTTTATATACCAATTTTCCTCTCCCCAATTCCTACTGTGTGCCCCTACCCATTTGATTCTTTTCCTCATCCTTTGAGAATTGTTTGAAATGCAGTCTTCACTGATCTTTGGCTTTTGTCATAGAATTATTTTCATATTAGATAAATATTAATGAAATGCATGTTTTCCTCTGCTTATGGATTATTATTCTTTATAACCTGCTAAGCATCATGATGACATTCTTTAGGATATTAATGTAAAATAAACATTCTTTTACAGTTTATAGTACTGTGACAGGTCTTTCAGGTAGTTCATCATTGTAAGGACACCAAGGCCAGGATTGGTCAGCCTTCTCCTTAAAGTCCTCTACAACCAAAGTTCCCAACACATTTCCTCCCTCTTCTCAGCCAGTTCTTTTCAACTTACTGCAGCTTCAAAGGTTCCAAAGCAGACACTGCAAGGCTACAGACATAGGAATTACATACACACAGTATAATCAGAATTACCTACATGCCAATGAAGACATGGAGGCTGAAGACACTGAGTGATTATGGGCCTTTATGTGCATTCTGTCACTAAGTGAGGTACAATTTTTAAACCAAAAATACAGTAGAGATTTTTTTTTCTTTGTCTGTTATAAGTTAAAAAGCCAAGACTCAGACATAAAGAAAATTACATAGCTCAGATGGCACCAGGATTTTAACCCTATTTTTTTCTTACACCAGTGGTTGTCAAATTTTAGCTTACATGAGAGTCACCCAGACAGCTTTTTAAAACACAGACTTTTGAGTCTCTCTTCCAGATTTTGTGATTCAATAGACACAGGGTGGGAATGGGGTGAAGAATTTTCATTTTCAACCAGGTTAAAAATGAGCTCAATGCTTCTGTTTCAAAGAAAAATTCCCACCTAACCCTGTCCGTCCTCAATATTACGAGTTTGGATGATAATGCTGTGTTAGAAAGGGCACCACCACCGGAGTTAGGAGCTGCAGCTCGCAAGCCTGGCTCTATGACCACATCGCTGACCTGCCGGTGGCTGACTTCACTTCTACGCGCTCTTCGGCTTCCCTCCGCATCCTCCTGGGAGGAGTACCTTAAATACCTGTAGGGTCACACTGCTCCCCTCTGCTGCCTGTGGGCTTCTGACAGTCTCCCTTGCTTCTTAAACCACCAACAGAGGAAGAATGAGGGAAGATGGGGGAGGGGGGAAAGTGAGGGTGGGTGAACCTTTGGCCGGTGGCTCCAGCTTCCTGCTAATGAAGACCCTACTTAGCAGGCAGGAGTGATGATTCAGGTAATTAGGTTCTTGGCATCCATGTAGGAGAATTGGAGTGAGTTCCTGGCTCCTAGCTCCTGGCTTCAGCCTTGTCACAGCCCCAGTCGTCACACATTTAGGGAGTGAACCAACAGATGGGAACTCTATCTCTCTGTCTCCTCCCTCCCTCCCTCTCTCCTTCTCACCATCACCATCTCTCAAATAAAAATTTGAAAGCAAAATAGCTTCAGAGTCATCCAGAAAGCATTGTTTTCAGGGTTAGGGTAGGAACAGTGGGTTTAGCAAAATGAACCAATACAGAGGAAGAGAGTCCCAAGGGCCTTGCCTGCCGACCTCATTTGTGCAGAGGACATGAGCTCCAAGTTAAAAAAAAAGTGCATTTCCACATACATGCTCAGCATTATTATTTTAATAGATTAGGTGCTTCAATTGTGTACCCTCATGGACCCAGGCACTTTCTGTCTTTACATCCTCCTGAGTGGCGGATGAGCAGTGCATCAGTTTCAGGAGTCGCAGCTTGCTCCAGAGGCATCCAGCCCTTAAATCTCCTCCCAGGGTGGCATCACAGCCCAGCAGCGGGGAGAGGAAAGTCATGGCTGTGATGGGCATGGAGCAATCCATTCTCATGTAGTTAATTCCATGGAGATGCTGTTAGTGGGTTCTGGGTAAATTGGTTGAAAGCAATTTGACCAAAAACAATTTAGCTGAAAGCAGTTGGTTCAAGGAATCTTTCCAAAATATTCATCAAAAATGACTATTCCTAGTCACCGCGGTGGCCATTGGAGGGTGAACCAACGGCAAAGGAAGACCTTTCTCTCTGTCTCTCTCTCTCACTGTCCACTCTGCCTGTCAAAAAAAAAAAAAAAAATTACTCTAACCTTAGTTACCATTATTGACTGAATGAGTAGTACTGACTCTATAGGGTGGGATTATTCTATAGTCTCTTTGCTGACTTGCATTTTATTGATAAAGCAAGAGAATTCATGATTGCTGGCATTGATTTTATAATCAGAAAAAGCAAAACAAAGGAACATAGTTTTTTTCCCAGAGTTTGAGGATTTTATTTTCCTTTATTTAAACTTTTTAAAAAATTAAAATTTTAATAGATGTATAAAAACTGTACCTATTTTGGGGGTACTCTATGATGTTTTATTACATGCATATATTGTGTAATGTCCAGTCAGGAAAAATATATTTATCGTTTTAAGCATTTATCATTTCTTAAGTGTGAAAACATCCAAAATCCTATCTTATTTTTGTTTGTAGAGAAATGTGAATTTTTCTACCTCACTTTAAGCCAATATGCCAGCTGTGCTGGTTTGGCAATTTTTGTATTTTTATGCAGAAGTATGCAGAATATTTGGTTTGCTCCAAATAGTCCCTTGGAAAGCATAGAACAAAAATAATTGGCTGAGAGTAAATTAGAAATTTTAAAAAGGAAAAAATAACAGAAAATTGAAGATGATTTTTAAAAAATGCCTTCAAAGGAACAAGAGCTCTATGTTGTACTGCAATATCTAATACTCAGGGCCACCACTAACTGATATTCAGTGTTCACTGTGTAGCTGCAGGGCACATCATTCATCCAGCCTAGGAAAGGAAGGGCGCCTCCTGCAGTTGTGCAATATGGTAACCTAAATATAAACTGATCTAATTAATATACTCTACCTGTCAGATTGTCATTGGCCCAGTTATAAACTATTGTTTTAATTGGTTAGAACACATGTTTATATGTCTACCTTGGGGCTCCTGGGGAGTCCTAAAGTTCTTAAGGAATTCTAAATCCAATACTGTAAACTCAATATATCAGGTACTGTTCTACAGATTTTGGGAAGAACTCCTTTTATTTTGTCTAAAAGATTAGTATTACAGCAAACATCACGTATTCATTGAGTTCCTATTAGGACACTGGTTCTGCCTCCTTGCTTACCTATACTGTAGGCTAATGTTGGCTAACTCACTGGCCTGCTTTAAAATCTTCGGTATCTCCTTCAGCATCTTCCAGACATCATCTAAGCTCCGTAGCAGACTTTCCAAAGCTCTTCAGACCTCAACCTCTCCTCCCATGATGGCTCTCTGTGCACCGAAGGCCCAGCCACAGTGGACTACTAGAAGGTCCTGGGTGCATTGTGCTTTTGTTCATCAGCTATGTGCCACCCAATCCTAATTCCTAAAACCCACTTCCCTCATCTGTGCCTGACCAGTCCCTAACTGTCTTTTATACTTGGCCTAAAAGTCATCTCTCCTAAGCAGCCTTCCCTGACCCATTCCTCCCTCCAGGAACATTCTCTCTTAGCTCCTGCTGCATCCTATACAACACACCCTGTTATTACAATGTGTGATGTTCTGTGATGCACCCTGCAAGTACTTCCCTGGTACCCTCAATTGACTGAGGCCTTCCAGGAGGGAAGCTACATTCTGATTTTTCTATGTATTCATTGCCTAGCACAATTTCACACATTTAGTATGTGTTAAGGTAATTCTATTTGGATGAATCAATGAATATAAATTCTTCAAAAGTACCTATCATTGGGGCTTTCATTGTGGAGTAGCAGGTAAAGCTGCTGCCTGCAATATAGGTACCAGTGTGTGTCTCAGCTGCTCCACTTCTGATCCAGTCCCTGCTGATGCACCTGGGAAAACAGAAGGTGGTCCAAATGCTTGGGTCCTTGCTACTCACATGGGAAACCTGGAAGAAGCTCCTGGACCCTGGTTTTCACTTAACTCATCCGTGGCTATTGTGGCCATCTAGGGAGTGAACCAGCATATTAAAAATATCTCTCTGTGTCTCTCCCTCTCTCTTTGTAACTCTACCTTTAAAATAAATAAATAAATCTTTATATGGTGCTAAATAAATACAAAGGTGGTTTAGAATATGACTAGGAGCTTTACAGAACAACCCTTTGGGGAGGAAGAGCCTAAACATATAAATGACAAAATAATGCGATATGAAATTAGTAGTAAAAGTAACATATCTACTGTGCATCCTATGCCAAGCACGGCTCTGAGTGCTTTTATTATTGCCTGCTACTTTAATCACTGACATATAATTCTACTATATATCTATATATATATACATAAATTCCATATAAAAAGCATATTTATCTGAACACAGAGGGTTCAAAGCTGAGGTACAAATAACACATACCATTTTGATAGCTTCCTGGGAGTCCCCTCATTTCTTTTTTTTTAATTAATTTATTTATTTGAAAGGTAGAGAGTTACAGAGAGGCAGAGGAGAGAATGAGAGAGAAGTCTTCCATCCGCTGGTTCACTCCCAATGTGGCCACAATGGCCAGAGCTGCGCCAGTCCGAAGCCAGAAGTCAGGACCTTCTTCCAGGTCTCTCACACAGGTGCGAGGGCTCAAGGACTTGGGCCATCTTCTACTACCTTCCAAGGCCACAGCAGAGAGCTGGACTGGAAGTGGAGCAGCTGGGGACTCAAACCGGTACCCATATGGGATGCTGATACTGCAGTTGGCAGCTTTACCCACTACACCGTAGCACCAGCCCCCCTCATTTCTTTTTAAACACCTAAGTGTGCATTAACAGCCATTCACTGTTTAATCCCAGTGGTTCAGCCCTAGTTTGGCTATAACGTTCCACAGTTTCCTCGACACAAATGAGGTTAATATTTGTTGAGTGTGTAGAAATTCATGGTAAGTACTCTTTCTGCTTTGGTTCTGGTTAGAGATGTCTAAATTTTTTCAGTGAGAGGTTTGAAAAGCCTAGAATACTTTTCAGTATGTGTCCTGGTCTAAAAAATGAGAGCTTTGAAGATACTCAGGATTCCACTTTTGCAGTCAGCCAGCCTGCTCAGAATCAAAAAACTGGCATCCTGCTTAAGAAACGCAACCTATTCTTCCTGTTTCTTTTTCTCCCTTGCAGTTGGAATTCTGGAGTTTCTACTTGAAATTGCACAACTTTTTTTGCTGTTGGTAATTTTTTGTTGTTTTTTAAGTAGTTATAAGGGAACATAAGAGGTAAAACTTACTAAGTAGCAATATTGCAATATTTTGAAGGTGGATGAGAAAAGTCTTAATTTTTTGTTTTAGGTACAATATTATTTTATAAGATTTATTTTTATTTGAAAGGCAGAGTTGAGGGGAAGACAGAGAGGTGTTCATCTGCTAGATCACTCTCCAAATTGCCGCCATGCTGGGGCTGAGACAAGCAAAAGCTGGGAACCAAGAGCTTCTTCTGGGTTTCCCACAGGGATACAGGGGCCCGAACACGCTGCTGCTTTCTCAGGCCATTAGGAGGGAGACAGATCTGAAATGGAGCAGCCAGGTCTCAAATCAGCACCCATTTGGGATGCCTGCACTTCAGGTGCAAGCTTAACTCGATACACCACAGTGCCAGCTCCAATATCATTACTTTAATTGATAAAATTGTATTGTGTTCAACATATCAGTTGATGTTTATGCATGTATGCACACACGCACACACACACATACACACACATATTAGTTAGATTTAACCATTCCATTATTGTCATTAAATCTAGCTAATTTGGAGCCAGCGCTGTGTCAAGGAAGGTTAAGCCTCCACCTTCAGTGGCGGCATCCCATATCGGCACTGATTTGAGTCCTGGCTGCTTCTCTTACAATCCAGCTCTCTGATTATGGCCTGGGAAAGTAGTGGAAAGTGACCCAAGTGCTTAGGCCCTGGCACCCTCATGTGACACCCAGAAGAAGCACCTGGCTCCTACATTCGTATCGGCTCAGCTCCAGCCATTATGGCCATTTGGGGAGTAAATCAGTGAATGAAAGATACCTCTTTCTCTCTCTGTCTCTCTCACTCTCACTCAGTAACACTACCTCTCAAATAAATAAATATCTAGCTAATTTACACATGCACCACCTCACATAGTTACTGGTTTTCAATGAGAATATTTAACATGTACTGTACATTTTTCAAGAATATAATATATCATCAACTGCAATTATCATCTTTTTTAAAGATTTATTTGAAAGTTAGAGTTACAGAGAGAGAGAGAGAAGTCCTCCATCCGCTGGTTCACTCCCCAAATGGCCGCAATGGCCAAGGCTGGGCCATGCTGAAATCAGGAGCCAGGAGCTCTCCTCTGGGTCTCCCATGTGGGTACAGGGGCCCAAAGACTTGGGCCATCCTCCACTGCTTTCCCAGGTGCATTAGCAGGGAGCTGGATCAGAAATGGAGCAGCTAGGACTCAAACAAGTGCCCATATGAGATACCAGTGTTGCAGGCAGCAGCTTTACCCACTACACCACAGCGCCAGCCCCTGCAGTCATCTTTACAATAAATCTTTTGAACTAATCCCTTCTGTCTAACTATATGAGTCCTTTGACCAAGATCTACTCAATCTACCCTTCCCCCTAGCCACCAGAGCCTCTAGCAACCACCGTCTACTTCTAAAAGATCAACTTTTTTAGATTCAACAAATGAGTAAGATTATATGATCTTTTTCTTTCTTTACTTTGCTAATTTCATTTACCAGCTTCAACCGTGACATCACAAATGACATGATTCCCTTCATTGTTTTTTAAAGATTTTATTTGTTTATTTGAGAGGTAGAGTTACAGACAGTGAGAGGGAGAGACAAAGAGAAAGGTCTTCCATCTGTTGGTTCACTCACAGCAACAGCCGGCACTGTGCCGATCCAAAGCCAGGAGCCAGGTGATTTTTCCTGATCTCCTATGTGGGTGCAGGGGCTCAAGCACTTGGGCCATCTTCTGCTGCTTTCCCAGGCCACAGCAGAGAGCTGGATTGGAAGAGGATCAGCCAGGACCAGAACCGGTGCCCATATGGGATGCGGGCCCTGATTCCCTTCCTTTTTTATGGATGAATACTATTCTACTATGTAAATATACCACATTTGTACTATTTGCTCATTCATTCATGGACACAGATTGCATTTCTTGGATGTTTTGAACAGTGCTGCAATAATCATGGAAGTACAGATATCTTTTTTGATGTACTGATTTCATTTTCTTTGGATGCATGCCAAGTAGAAGGATTGATGGATCATCTGGTGGTTTTTTTTTTTCTTAATTTTTTGAAGAACCTCCATACTGTTGTCCATAGTGACTGTACTGGTTTGCATTCCTGCTAACACTGTGTAAGAGTTCCCTTTCTCAACATCCTTGACAATAGTTATCTTTTGTCTTTTTGATGATAGCTATCCTAGCAGGAATAAGGTGATGTGTCATTGTGGTTTTCATTTGCATTTTCCTGATCATTAGTAATATTGAACTTTTTTTCATATACCTGCTATCATTTGGTTATGTTCTTTTGGGAAATGTCTAAACAAGTCATTTGCTTGTTTTTAAAATCAGGTCGTTTTCTTGCTATTGAGTTGTTTGAGTTCCTTACATATTTTATTTAATACCCCAAATAGAATTCCTTTAGTCTCATGTTTAAGAAACTATTTCAAACATAATGCAATTCCTTTATAACTGGAGCGTTTACAGAAAATGAGAGTTAATCCACATCTCCAAATTATCGTCCAGTAAAATCCTGTAATACACTTAGCATCTGATTTCTATATAAAAACAATGTCCCCAGATTGCATTTTGATCTTGAAATATTAAGTGCAAAATGAACCTCTGCACATTAGACATAGCAACAGTTTATCCCAGCAGCTGAACTGGCCTAGTGACAATGTAGTTGATGTGGTGATAAGCCATACATGCAATCACAAACCCTTTCATTCCAATAGTGATTTCCACAGAGCAGTTATTAAGAACTCTGGGAAACTGTGCCATTAATATTCATTAAGTGCAGGGCCTGGCGCCGTGGCTCACTTGGTTAATCCTCCGCCTGTGGCACCGGCATCCCATATGGATGCCGGGTCCTTGTCCCGGTTGCTCCTCTTCCAGTCCAGCTCTCTGCTGTGGCCCGGGAGGGCAGTGGAGGATGGCCCAAGTGCTTGGGCCCCTGCACCCACATGGGAGACCAGGAGGAGGCACCTGGCTCCTGGCTTCGGATTGTAGCAGCCATTTGGGGGGTGAACCAACAGAAGAAAGACCTTTCTCTCTGTCTCTCTCTTTCTCTCTGTAACTCTACCTGTGAAAAATAAAAAATAAAAAAATAATATTCATTAAGTGCATACAGTGGCAGAAACTGGAGAGCAGAGGCTCATTGAAGCCACAGACTCTATAGAAGAATCTAGGACCCTGGCTTTACCTCGTTGATCATCCATTAACCCAGATTTCCTCTTCACTACAGGAGTCAAAGGACCCTTCCCTGTGAATCAGTGCCTTCCACCCAAACACCATGACACACAGAACATTCTCTAGTTCTGTGGGAAGTCAATCAAGTGTTTTTGTTAATGTTTATCTCCATTTCATCTTACATTTTTCAAAATTCTTAAACCAAGACCCCAAAGTTTCTGTAGTAGTATATCTGGGCAAATTTCTAACTAGGTAAGTAGATATGCACACTCCCCTAAATTTTATAGTGAAATTCTTTCTGTCTCTTTCAAATGAGGTTCAGTACATTTATATATATATATTTTAAAAAAACCTTATAGATTAAGATATAGTTTACAAATGACCTCAAAATAAATGTTCTCTGTATTATCAAAATGTTAATTTTACCCAAATTTCTAATTGATGCTGTGTACCAGAATTACCTAAAAAATGCAGCAGAGAAAAAACCATCCCAGGAATATTTATTTCAGCAAGCATAAAAATTAGGTTTTAGGGGTCGGTACTGTAGCATAGCAGGTAAAGCCACCACCTGCAGTTCCAGCATCCATATGTGCTCCAGTTCGAGTCCCAGATGCTCCACTTCCAATTCAGCTCTCTGCTATGGCCTGGGAAAGCAATAGAAGATGGCCCAAGTGCTTTGGCCCCTTCACCCACATGGGAGACCTGGAAGAAGCTCCTGGCTCCTGCCTTCAGATCGGCGCAGTTCTAGCCATTGTGGCCAATTGGGGACTGAACCAGCGGATGGAAGATTTCTCTCCCTCTCTCTCTCTCTCTCTCAGCCTCTGCCTCTCTGTAACTCTGCCTTTCAAATAAATAAATCTTTTTTAAAAATTATATTTTGTATTATTCTTTCCTAAAAATAAATACATTTATCAAGTGACTTTTTTCCATTTTCCGCAAATTTTTTGAACTAAGTGGAAAATATTTGTATCCTGAGTAAATCTTTTCTCTTCCTTCCATAAGATATTTTCTCAATGATTTCTGACTCCAGCGGGGTGATGGTTTATGGACGATATGACCAGTTCCTTCGGGAAGTTCTCAAACTACCCACAGCAGTGTTTGAAGGCCCTTCATTTGGTTACACAGAACAATCAGCTCGATCCTGTTTTTCCCAGCAGGTAAAGAACAAACGAACTTAAGGAAATATCTCTCCAACAGTAGTTACTCTTTTCTATATGCCATTACCAGGCACAGATACACAAATTCTTCTTTGGTGATAAAAACCTGTATTGTATTTCTAGCCTCTGACAAATGACCTCTGAGCTAATAACTAAATGCAACACAACTGGAATATAATAATAGGTGGTGTTAACTGACCATGAAGCAGGCACCATGCTGAATTACTTGTTTTTGTTGTCTAACTTAACCCTTACAACGACCCTGTGCCCTTAATATCAGTACTGTGAATGTCACTGCAGTTTCCAAAGGGTTGAATTATCACTCAGCCTCACATGCAATATGGGTGACCCAGCACCAAACTTTACCAATGTTTAGTAAAAGGGATAAGAAAGGAATCACTGCACATGCCACATCACAATCTGGGAGGACCTTGAAATACGTGTCATTCAAAATTAGCAAGAATTATACGGCTACTTTCTTACTGAAAAGGGCTTATATACTCCAAAAGGGTTATATATGATGCTGCTGTGTTCAAAGTTGCTTTTGAAATATCCTATAGTCTGTCCCATTATATAATGTTGTGTATATCCCTCCCTTATACCTGTCAAGAGCATAACAACATTTCAAAAACTTCCCACAGTGATTTTAGCCAGTATAATAAATGATCAAAATGATTAAAATCATGTGAATTCCATAAGAGGTCATGCAAGCAAAAGAATAAGACCAATTTATTTTTGTACTGTATAGATTGCCTATATCAGCTGTTTGAATGGTGAAATTCCAAAATTGTCTAAATACTTCACTGGAAAAAGTCCAAGCCACCTCAAATGATTGTTATGGGAATACATTACTGTTTAGCTATATAAGTTATGATAGCTTTTTAGAAAATACTATCTCATTATTTATACTATGCGTATCTTTTAGTCATAATGTTGATGTCAACCTTATAGAAGGCTTAAACTATGTAGTATTATAAAGACCAAACTTGTAAGCACCTACTGATAGTAAAAGTTTCACTAAGGGCTACCAGAACAGTTGTTTAGTGTACTATAAGGATTAGTGTCATATATATGACATAAAAAGATACTGTACATCTTCAGTCCTGGTTTCTCATTTAAAAATATAAAACTTGTCCTTCCACTTTGATGTTCTAGTTCAAATTTTCAAATAGAATAGATATCTGAGTGTATAATGTGTAATTTGTTATTCATGTTATTACCATACATTCTTATTTTTGTCATTGTGAAAGAAACATGGGTAAAATATATTCATTTTCTACATCAGAAAAATCCAGGATAATGAGACAATAATTGACAGAATTGAGAGAAAAGACACATAAAGAAAGGAGGGACATATTTTTTAAATTTTACATCATCCCCTCCTAAAAGAGAAATATGGTTCCTTCTGAATAGGATTCCTTCATAATCTTGTGTAGCAGAATAATTAACATTAACTACTAAGTATTGGGAAGTTGAGGAAACTTAAAAGGGAAGTTGGTCTACAAATTTAGAAGGGAATTAGAATTATATAGTTTTCTATGGTCATTATTGGGTAAAACTCAATGGAGAATTTCAGTTCTTCATCTTTCTTCATTATTTTCACGCATCCCCCTAGGTGAATATAAAAGTGATGCTCTCAGAACTGGTTTTCTCCTGATGATACTAATGACTCAGCTTCCATTGAGTTAATTCAGTCCTATGTACGCTTAGATAAAAAAAGCAATCAATGTATTCAGCTCTGAACTAGTTTAATAACACATTTGAAAGTTCTGTATCTTCACGTATTAGAGTTCAAATGCCTTCTTTCAATTGCAAATCATACTTACATAGCAGGTGAATTAAGTAGCCCCTGTCCTAAATTTTTGTGGTTTTCAATGCAGAAGAAAGTCACGTTAAATGGTTTCTTGGACACGCTCATGTCAGATCCTCCTCCCCAGTGTCTGGTCTGGTTGCCTCTTCTACATCGACTGGCAAATGTTGAAAATGGTGAGTAGTTACTCCTGAGCAAAGGTAATTTCAAAGTTACTGAAATCAAGCCATCGGGTCCACCGTTGCGCTCAGGTCGTTAAGAGAAGCCTGTTTAATGACGGAAGTTTGTTTAGGACAGAACTGATCAGTAAAGCCTTATAGGATCCATACAAAGTTAAAACTGTCAGTTCTAAAAACTTATTAAATCTAACATGTACCTGTAAGTTGCAAGTCAAGTGTGCTTAATAACTTGGTACCCAGAGGAAAATCTCAGTACAGTATCATTTTCGGGTATTTGTTTTAGACCTGAATTTCCAATATTGGTATACATGCATTATTTCTTCGTAGATACACAACCAGGAATTGGTGGGAGAGACAGGAAAAAAATTTGATGATAACATCGTACTAATCTTTACTCACATGCTCCAAATTGTGTTCTCAATAGTTGTACTTATTTTAAAGATAAGAGTAATGGAGGCCAGCATTGTAGTGTCGCAAGTAAAACTGCTGCCTGGAATGCCGGCATCCCATGTGGGCTCCGGTTCCATCCCTGGCTGCTCCACTTCTGATTCAGCTCCCTGCTCATGTGCCTTGGGAAAAGATGCAGAAGATGGCCCACGCGCTTGTGCCTCAAGAAGCTTCTGGGTCCTGGCTCCTGGCTTCAGCCTGGCCCGGCCTTGGCCACTGCAGCCATTTGAGGAGTGAACCAGCGGATGACAGATCACTCTCTCTCTAACTATGCCTTTCAAATAAATAAAATAAATCTTTAAAAAAGAAAGAGTAATGTAACTTTTATAGCATACTTTTTTTAAGTGAGTATTTCTAATGTGAAAATAATTATTATAGACATCTAAATTTAAATATGAAATACAGTTCAGGACAAGATTTAAAGGGATTTAAAGGTGAAACAATTAGTGTGTCCTTATTTATTACTTAACACTTAAATTTCTCCAAACTTAAATAGGAAATAATTTACCCATATATCATATTAGAATATTAATTTCTGTATGTTTTCTAATGCACATTAGGGCTAAAGTTTACTTAACTTTAAATTCTCATTCAGAATTTTGCCTCTGCTTTATTAATTCTTAGTTCAAAGTTTTGACTTTATCCCCTGTACTCACAGAAAAAGTTTAAAGAATGAACTGCTAGTTTCTCTGCCATCACTAACAAGTGTGGGTTGTTTTTATTTTTAATGCTTCTCATCCATAAAGCAGAAGCAGAGCACAATCAAGGCCCGTATTATTATGCAGGATGAGTTCAGATGACTGTTTACAGTTCCAGAACTAGTCATTTTCCAGTCGTAAAGCTGTAATTTCATTCCTTCGGTTTCAGTGTTTCCTGCTGCAGGAGATCAGCTTCTTAGGTACTGTCCCACAACAGTTGTCCCTGGATTCAAGTTCCACCTTCGTCTTTCCCAAGAGCCAGAAAAAGGAGATCATAACGCGTGTTTAGGGGATAACACATTCAGAACTGGCTATGTCTTTATATTTTCACTTTGCTTTTTATTTTCATCTACTCATATTTGCTTTATTTTTGCTGGCTGGTTAGAGAATAACTTTACCAAAGAGTTGTTGTTGTTATTTTATTGTTGTTTTGGTGTCTGGCTCACAGCATGTAGACAACTGCTTGAATTTGATCATTCACAAGCTTCGAATCTCAAACAGTTAACTTTGTCTGCTTTAATTTTCCTGCCAAAGAGAATTAAGTGTCTCTTAAAGTATTTGAGTAAGAGCCATATTCAGGGGTGGGAATTTGGTGTAATGGGTAAGTTACCACCTGGGACACCCATCTTCATATATGAGTCCCTAGGTTCAAGTCTTTCTCCTGCTTCTGATCCAGCTTCCTACTAATGCACACCCTGAGGGGAGGCATATCACGGCCCAAGTACCTGGGTCTCTGTCACTCATGTGGGAGACCTGGATTGAGTAGCAGGCTCCTGACTTTGGCTTGGCCCAGCTCTTGCTGTTACAGGCATTTTTGGAGTGAACCAGCAAATAGAAAATTAATATTCATTCTCTCTCTCTCTCCCTCCCTCCCTCCCTCCCTCCCTCCAAATAAAAATGAGAAAAAGATAAATTTTCAAAGAACTACATTCAGATAATTTATATATCTTTTGGGACCCTCTCTAGCTGCATCCATAAAGAAAAACCTGGTTTGTTACATAAAGGGTCACTCCATTTTGAAAAAAGCAACTTGGGTCTCTCACCATCTCCCCTCTTCCCTACCCTTTTCCACTTCTCTACACTTGCTTTGCTCTCTGCCCACTGGATGGTCAGCTGCATTCATCCTTTGTACTTCTGAGTCTTTCAGTGAACTGTGCTGGTTTCCTGGAGACAGAGAGCAGTTTGGAGAAAAGGCAAATCAGCTGGGGTAATTTATATTCTTGTAGGGTAACAGATGGGAGTTGAAAGAGCAAATGTCATTACAGAGATTTGTGGTGTTTAAAAGGATACCTTTTTTTCATCCCACTTGATTACTTCTACCCCCACATACATACTTGAAAGCATGGGTAGACGCCAAGAAAAAATGCTTCTCTGAGCCAAAACCGACTATCACCTGAAATCATGGCCCTCAGTGGAAAAGTGCTTTGCTATTGAGCTGTGTTTTTCCTTATTCTGGTTCATACTTTTGCTTTCTTGTTTTGTCTCCATGTACTCTCCCCTTAGTCTTCCATCCGGTGGAGTGTTCCTACTGCCACAGTGAGAGTATGATGGGATTTCGCTACCGATGCCAACAGTGTCACAATTACCAGCTCTGTCAGGACTGCTTCTGGAGGGGACACGCTGGCGGTTCCCATAGCAACCAGCACCAAATGAAGGAGTACACGTCATGGGTAAGGCGAGGCCCGGACAATGCTTAGAGTTGGATGTGTGTGTGTGTGTGTTGCCCAGAATGAAAAGGAACATCAAGGATGCTGACAGAAGTAGGGGCAGACTCACCTTCCCCTCCTGGTCTAGCGTTCCTTTCCCACCCCTACCATCCCCCACCTTGCTGGCATCTCTTCCTGATTCTATCTGAATCCAGTGTCGCTTCCAGAGACTTAGAATTTAGGAAGGATCTAGGAAGACAGCCCGTTACTTCTTGGAATATAGATAATTCAGCACTGATGTAAGTCAGCAACCGAGCAACAGTGACCTTCTGGAACATAGTGTTATTGTCACAGTAAGTTGAGGTCTTCTCCAAGTTTCATTTTGTTTCATTTTCTATGGAAATTACTTTAAAATTATTGTTAGTTTCATTTTTTTCTTTGGTTCTTGAGTTCTTTTAATGTCTGGAATATTAAATTAAGGAAAGAAGAGGGAGTGGGCTTAGTACTACTCTCCCATTTTCTGTTTCGCAGGGATAAAGTAGGGAGATTGTGGTCACGTTAGAAAACTCATCTTTTCATGAAAAGTCTGAGTGAACAACTTGGTAAAGGTGTCCTGTAAGTGTTGGTGTGGCAGGTATTTTCACAGGAGCATGTCCACTCTGTCTACAGAAGTGATTTCACCGGCGGGTGTGCTTGCTGTTGAAATAGTTTACAGTGTACTGACCTCTGTCTCAGTGAAACTCACAGATCAGTTGCAGAAATGTTGCTCCTGGGCATCTGTTCCAATTCTGCCGTGGGTGCGGGTTGGTTTTTGTGGGACAGACTCAGCACTGCCAGCCTCTCTTGCAATGGTTCTAACACAACAAAATACAAATTGTAATGAGTTCTCTATATTTAAATGTTTTGCATTACAACCTATAGCCTTTACATAAAGGATAACTTATTGTTCTTTTAAAAAAAATCGCCTTCAAGAAAAATGTGTCTTCCTTCAGAATCTTCTTTCCATTGTTTATTGGAAACTGATACTCAGTGTTAGATTCTGAATTCAGGTAACAGTTATTCACAAAGGCAGTGTTTGCTGAGAGCTTTGTGCCCCATCAGATGTCACCCCTCGCTGTTGGTGATGGCATATGCTGAAGATGGATAAAGCAGCACAGATCACAAACTACAATTTAATTAAGAAATAGGTGGAAACTTTTTTTTTTTTTTTTGTCGACATGTAATCAGTTTCTATACTTCTATCCCAGATCCTGGAAGGTTGCTGTTTAAAGACTAATCATTTTTAGTTGTTTTGTGTACATGCTAAGGTCACATAAGGAGCCTCTCTCTGAGGGATCATGGATTCTAAAGTTTTACATCAGGGCACTGTCTTTACAAAGCATCAGCCTCCCCAAGAGGACAAAGGGGCTCTCTGGTTTATGGGGTGAAAAGCTGTTGTTGCTGCTGTTTTAAGTGTTCTGAGAATTGCATCTCTTAACAAACACCAAAGAAGGACTTCATGAGCAATGTTCCTGGTACTTAGCTTTTAAATAATGAGGACAAAGTCACTCCATTATATTACCAGTTATGGAACCTAGATGTGAAAGCAAGAGGCACAATTATAAATGACTTCTTATGGACAGGGTAAATTTGATTAAAGGTTTACTGTGTGTGGTACACTGGTCTTTACAATGTTTCCTGTGTAATGTTAAGATAAACAGTCCACCAGTCTACTTGAAAAACAAACAGCGTGATGCCGGGGAAAGCACTCAGATTGAAGTTCTGCTTTTACTTCTAACTGAATGTGTTCCGCCACACCTGGAACATCTTGCACCTGGATTCTTGCAAAACCTGTTCAACTTCCTTCTACTCCTATCTCCCCACAAAGCGTTTTCTGTTCCAAAGTGGGAGCATTCCTTCCAGAAGCAGGCCTGATCCTGTCATCCCTGTGATTTCTAACTCATCGCTGTCCCCCTCTGCCCTGGAAATGACAGTCCCAGATGTGCCCCGGAAGCCCTCTAATTCTGCCGTCTGCTGTCCTCTCCGGAACTGAGTCTGTCCTCCCTCCTGCCTTTGCAGTTGCTGCTTCCTTGATCTGAAATTATCTTCCCAATCCCCGAAGTTTTGTCAAAAGAAACTCTTGTGGCCATTAAATGCCAGCCCAAGTGCATGGTGACTGCTTGCATTTCCTATGCATTTGCTGACAGGAGGTAGATAACCTGGAGGCTTGTTAGTACTCTAGTCCCAACGTGGAGTAAACTTCCTCACTTAGAGTAGGTTCCTCACTTAGAGTAGGTACTTGAAAAGAATTTATTGAATGAATGAATGAATGTTTGTTATGAAAAATCTGATAAAATATTACATAAACGTTAGTTATCACTTCTCTCTTCCTCCCAGAAATCACCTGCTAAGAAGCTAACTAATGCATTAAGCAAGTCTCTGAGCTGTGCTTCTAGCCGTGAACCGTTGCACCCCATGTTCCCAGATCAGCCTGAGAAGCCTCTCAACTTGGCTCACATTGTGTGAGTATCTCTGCCCTCCAGATTAAGATCAGCTTTCTTCACCGACATGTGCCCAAATCCTTGCAAAGGCAATTTCCTATCAGTTTCAAGGACCAGGTTCTAAGACTTAATTTGAAAAAAAAAGATAGGGTCAAAGTAATGCCATTAAAAATTTTCTTGTTGAGATACATAGTACTTCTGTCCAGCTGCACTAGTCAAATATGCAACATTAATGTAATTCACCCAGAAATGGTAAATAGTCAGAAAGCTTACTTATAAAATATGTCAGCAAAGTTTGCACATTTGGGAGTTAACAATCAATGGAATTACCATGGTTGAAAAACAATATTCAAGCATCTTATACCTTAATATCATAAGCTTTGAATCCCAAATAAGAAAGGTCTTCAAAAAGTTCATGGAAAAGCATATAATGAAATAACTATGCATGGATTTCTAAAGTTTTTGAAATTATATTTTAATTCTATTTTTCCATGAACTTTTTGAAGTACCCTTGCAAAAACCCTTTATTTCATTGCTCTCCAGAGCCATTCATTTTCAAGATGACAGTAAATAGCAATTGCTTTGAATTTTAATGACAAGCTCAATAATATTAGAAGAATCATGGTCTATGCAGGAGAAGGTTGAGGAAGGGAGTTGTTAGGAAAATTTGCCAGAATATTTTTTAAAAATGATTTTTTTTCTCCAAAGTTTGGATTTTGTAGTTAGAGTGGGTAAGGCCGGTGGGTGGCTACCACCATCCTTGCCACTTCTCAGAAATGTCCTGCCTTGGAGCTTCTTTCAGGCCTGGTGGCCAGGATGACAGAGAGGCATAGTCAGAAGAAAGTATTTCTTCCCTGGTGTTACTTTAGACTCAAGAGAAGAAAGAAGCTCCCTCCCTGCTCCCGTGCACAGTTAGGAATTATATGGGCACAGATACTTCTTAAAGCTTCTAGAACATGAGGTCCACCTTCTTGAAACATATCTATGTTCTTAATTTGGGTTCTATGGAAGGATTTCAGGATTACCTTAAAATTGTATATAAAATGTGCCTTGTTTCTGAGAAAACTTTCATGTGTTTAATAAGATTCTCAAAAGAGTCCTTGAATCTAAATATTGGTCTATGCTAATATATTTCCCAGGGTGAACATCTTAATTTTAGAGTGAAAATTGTGCAGGATATTTAATTGTTAAGATAATATACAAGAAATGCTTGATGTAGACTGTCCAGTCTGTGTTAGAACAGGATTTTTTTCTATTTTTAACTATAGAATTGTCTTATATAATTGTTTCTTTGTTAACTTGCTATTGTCATAAACAGGTAGATATCCATGTCTAAGAACTCTGATTTTAAAATATAGTGTTCATTGAGCTATTCTAAATTATTATAGGCACATAAAATCCATTTTAATAACAAAATTGGCCAGCGCCGCGGCTCACTAGGCTAATCCTCCGCCTAGCGGCGCCGGCACACCGGGTTCTAGTCCCGGTTGGGGCGCCGGATTCTGTCCCGGTTGCCCCTCTTCCAGGCCAGCTCTCTGCTGTGGCCAGGGAGTGCAGTGGAGGATGGCCCAGGTGCTTGGGCCCTGCACCCCATGGGAGACCAGGAAAAGCACCTGGCTCCTGGCTCCTGCCATCGGATCAGTGCGGTGCGCCGGCCGCGGCGCACCGGCCGCGGCGGCCATTGGAGGGTGAACCAACGGCAAAGGAAGACCTTTCTCTCTGTCTCTCTCTCTCACTGTCCACTCTGCCTGTCAAAAAAATAAAAATAAAAATAAAACTAGAATAAAATAAAAAATAACAAAATTATGGTACATGCTTTAATCTTTCACAAAGAGGAATACCCTCTTAACTTGCCACAGTTAGCATATATGCAGAATTAATGAATAGTCACCCTCCTTTTAAATGTATATAGGTACACTTTTAATAAATTTAACATATATAACATTTCCTGGTATGTCCTTTCATCATAAGCCATTCTACCACATTTATATGGTCCTGTAAGGTGGAAGTAAGTAAAGAAACACCTGAAATAAAAACACATAACCCCACACACACACATAAAACCTTTAAGTTATTACTCCAAAGTATGGCTTTGAGTGTAAAGGTCTTAAGCAGAACAAATATTATCATAGTGTGATAACATGTGTACTAAGAAACTTTATTATTGAGTCTCTAGCACATGGCATCCTAAAAATGTATTCCTTAGAATCATACATGGCAGGGAAAACATGTCTCCTGCTGGTGGTTCTTTCTCTGTCATCCTCACTCCCCACTAACTTCTGCCTGTAATTTGTCAAGTAATTTGTTAATAAATGTTTTCATTGTAGTCACAGACCGCATCTTTATGTTCCTTGGACACATTTTCATATAGGTTCACAAAACTATCCATTTGGTATCACTTACACACATAGATAAGCTCACAGCACACAAAGGCAGGAAGAGAGCAGAGTGAGGTATGAGCAGTAACAATTTGATAAGGATATGCTGTCATATGCTGCATTCCCTCGAGGTTGGAGTATGGGGAATGATAGCATAGACTCAAAGCAGTTTTTCTGTTACTATAAAAAAAGTGTGTTCATTTTGTATTAGTACAAACTCTTAAGACATTGTTCAGAAAAATATTCACAAGATGCAAATATTTAATTATAGAATAATTGTATGTCCTTATGTGTGATGCTGAAATGTTTAATGTTATGAAGTCCATATATTTAGAAACTGATGTTGAACATTATATAGCCTTCTTTTTTTAAAAAAATATTTATTTATTCATTTGAAGGCAGTTACAGAGAGGTAGAGAGAGAGAAAGAAAGAGACAGAGAGAGAGGGAGAGAGAAAGTCTTCCAGACACTGGTTCACTCCCCCAGATGGCTGCAATGGCCAGAGCTGAGCCAATCCAAAGCCAGGAGCCAGGAGCTTCTTCTGTGTCTCCCTCAAGGGTTCAGGGGCCCAAGGACTTGACCATCCTCCACTATTTTCCCAGGCCATAGCAGAGAGCTGGATAGGAAGTAGTGCAGCTGGGAATTGAACCAGTGCCCATATGGGATGCCGGCACTGCAGGTGGCAGCCTCACCCGCTACACCACAGCGCCGGCCCCCATTATATAGCCTTCTTAAGTGCATACATCTTTATGTTTTGTGATTGTGTTAAAATTTGAAATTGTCCTCATATACATACTGTATCCAATCTTGAGCAGTAGGAAGTCATTATAAGATATAGACACAAATTGCATGACTTAGACTTGATCAATACATAATAAATAAACTTTAAAATATTTTCATTACCTGTTATATATTCCAATTCCAACTTTTAAATGTGAAAAATGGTTATATATACATATATATATATATGTATATCACATTTTTCAAGTAGCATTAGTACACTGAAAGGAGAATAAGCCAATAGGATTTTTAAACAGACTTCAATACTACCATGATACACACATTTATGTATAGAAACAAATGTTGTGACACACTCAAAATGCTGTTCTTTACTATAGTCAGGATTTTATATCCTTACAATAGAGAGATGCTGCCAGTCATGAATGATACCTTAAATAGAAATGAGCAGGTGGTGACATTTGGGTATTTTGGCATTTGTTCTTAGTAATTGTACTGCTTGTAAATGTTACTATGATTAACAGTCTCTATTCTATTCCATTCTTTGCTGCCAAAAGTGACACTTGGTAAGTAATTTAGTAATCTCCAATGTACTTAAAAAACTTACAGGTGGTTATGAGACACAAAACAAGTGAGCAGCATGAGACTAGTTTAAAACTCATTCTGCCTTGAGCTGAACACCTTCCATTTTCAAGAAGGACAGTAATTTTACAAAAATGTCCTCTGGGAAGGTCTTGCAAGAAAGAAAATGTGGCACTAAGCCCTTGTGACTTATTCCATTTTGTGGAGCTTTCTTTTGTTTTTCATAAGAGTGGATATGTTTAAAATTCCTTGTGTGACCTAATTATTAAATAAGGTCTTGCCATTTGATTATAGAGGAAGTAAGAACTTTAGTTCCTTGGAAAACCTTTGGTGCCATAGGTATCCATTCTGTGTCCCAAGTTTAGCATTTTGATGGTGAACTTTAAACATGTCATCATTTGCTAAATACTCTGGATTTCAACTTTGCAGTAACTGGATTCAGTAGAATAAATTCATTCAGCTAATTAAAATTCACTTATTTTCTCATTTCCTAGAGATAGAGCATGACAGGAAAGTTTAAAATGACACAAGAAAACCAGTAATGTCAGGTCAAGTTTATCTTTTCAACTTTTTGCAGAGCTACATGAAGATTGTGTACACTGTTTTAATTTACATAGCTTTCCATAATCCATACAGAACATTTGTATAAAATTAGCATCCTTCTTATAAGGTTGATACTATTGGGCTTAAGGAAGAGTTCATTTTCAACTATTTTCATACAAGCTCTCTTGTATCAAAGATAATCCTAAATAAGTAATGCAATACACTGATTATTTTCAGAACTTCAGTTACTATATCTAGAGTTGATGAAATAGTGAAGCTGTTGCTTTGAAGTCATCCAGTAAATAGTGTATCTTACAAAATCTTAGAACACAGTTTAGCACCAGCTACCAGGAAAAGATACCAATGAATTTTTGCATTCAGTGCCAACACTGTGAAACCTACAGAGTATTATGAGCATTCCAAAAAATATATGGGGAGAAGTGTCTACTTTTCCCAGAATGTCTTCATTGTAAGACCCCAAATTTACTCTAGTTCCTCAAGGTAAAAATTAAATTATTTATAAATCTGATTCTTAAGCCAACAGTAATACCTTTTATATACTACTATAATTAATGTAACATTCAAAAATATATACCTATATTCAAATTCAAATGTAGAATTATAGTGAAACAAAATTTTCTCTGACTCAGACTGATGCCCTGCCTCATCCTCCATCTTCTAAACCCTAAATCCTGTCTCATTTTACCATTCAACTTCTTATACTGAACCTAGAATAAGACCAAAAACTGCTTGGAGATGAGATATAGGGATCCTAGCTTGATCATTTTACCTAAAGTAAGACATTTATGCTAAGAAAAGAGTAACGTGAAATAAAAAATGATAGCAGGTAGTTAGGACTGTAAACAATTCTGAGAAATATTGATTACTATATTCTTTCTCTCATCCTATGCAAATAAGTAAAATTTGTAAGATGGCTTCCACCATGTACCCTATCACATGGATCACCCACAGGACAGCAACTCCTTAAATCCTTGTGGTGCTTAACTGCATCTTCACGTAGGACAAGAAGCAAATAAGACAATATGATTTTACAGCCTATATCCTTCCGCATCAGGCAAGTCATCATGGAGAACAAAGAAAGAAGTTTACAAAGCCTCAGGGATTGTCCTCTTTCTAAGGGGATGTATTCAAATGGCCAATAGACACATGAAAAAGTGCTCAGGATCCTCACTGTCAGGGAAATACAAATCAAAACCACAATGAGGTTTCACTTCACACCCATTAGAATGGTCCTCATACAGAAGTCAACAAACAACAAAAACTGGGGAGGATGTGGGGAGAAGGTTACCTTAATCTGCTGTTGGAAGGAATGTAAACTGCTACAGCCACTGTGGAAGACAGTATGGAGATATCTCAGAAAGCTGAATGTAGACCTACTGCTTGACCCGGCTATCCCACTCCTGGGAATTTATCCAAAGGAAATGAAACCATTATACTTGGTGAAGTAAGCTAATCATGCTTTGAAAGCTTCTCCCTTTCGACAGCAGTATAAATATGTCTACATATTCTTCAAAATCCTTATTCAGTTGGAGACTGTAATTCAATAAAACACCAAGGCTCATGAACTCAGTAAAACACCAAGGCTCTCAATGATTAACACAGAATCTATACAAGGGATCTTCAAAAATTCATGGAAAATGTGTATTATACAAAAAACAATGCATGGATTCCAAAATTTTTGCACCAAAATAAACATCTTTTAATTCCATTTTTCATGAAATTTTTGAAGGACTCTCTCTTTTCTCAAAGAAATGTACCTTTACAAACTTAAATGTAAAGTCTCCTGGGTGAGAGAGAACTCAGATCTTCCCATCCAGTTACCTTGAGGGATGATGATAGTTTTCAATCTGTGCTGTTTGTTTTCATTTTCTGTAAACACTGTACTTTGTTTTAGGCCTCCCAGACCTGTAACCAGCATGAATGACACCCTGTTCTCCCACTCTGTTCCCTCCTCAGGAAGTCCTTTCATTACCAGGAGGTAAGTTCCTATGCTATTATAACATACATCCTCTTCTCTGGTAATGAATCTTGCTCTGTGGCAAGACAAATATTCTAGAGTAAGGCAGGTGCAGGAGTTTGTTGGAGACTAGCTTTTGAATGTCCACAAATTCTCAATTCCGTTCATGTATGTGTATTTAAAGGGGGCTGGGTGTCTTTTGGGATTCATGCCACTTCTACAACGCACATTTATAATCCACCCACAGTACGAGTGTGGAGTATGTTTCAGTTTACCTACTGTCACACATGCATTCTTTCTCCTTGAGAAAATCACTTTCATAGCGCTGGGAGGGGTCCACCGAACCTGGGGAATAGGAATTCCCAGATGTAATTCGGTATTATTGTACGACTTCTGAGGCATTGCATTATTTAAAGCTCCAGATATAAAGTAAACCTCTTCTTGGTGAACTCTGGAGCTCCCAAAGATAGAGGCTGAAGACAAAATATGGGAACGGAGTTCTAATATAATTAACTTCCTAGATAATAACAAGAACTTAATTTTTTAAAAAGGAGGCCCTAGCTCATGGGAGAAGGAACAAGAGAAGCATTGCTTCTCTGAAAGTTAGCATTAGAAACATGCAGAGGTCAAGAGGTACGCTAAGTCATTTGATCAAATATCACGAATCAAGCACCAGAGGATTATTTTATAAATAGATGGAGAAGTCCCACAGGAAAGCAGAAACAAAGGTGAGGATAACTGGAATGTGCAGTTGAATATAGGATCTTAAATACCTTTCAGCAGAAAAAAATGCAGCCTTATAATTCACAAAATGCACATAGTCCATTTTTCCCTGAAGAGGTTTATAGGTGCTCATTTCCCTGTAATAGCCTCATGTTTTTAGTGAAGATTTGAAAACAGACTCAGGGTACTACTAGTTGTTTCCCCCTGAGTTCCAGTATTTGCCCCCCAACAGGAACCTGAAATGAAGATACCCCTTGTAATTATAATTAGTAAAATAAATAGAATGTGACAGTATGTTGGTATGTTTCCCATTTACAAATTAAGTCAGTAACAATTGGAAATAAGGAGGCATCTGTACGACAAAACATCTCCAGTGAAATATTGCTTAGGCCCTTAGGAACTTCCTGTGAGCCCTCCTTGTCAGAACCACAAGCAAATGCAGCCATCTTTTCTGAAACAAAGGCATGGAGTGTACAATCTGTGAGAGACACGGGCCTGTGCATCTATCTAGGGACCACCTGGTGTGATGTTTGGAAAAGATTCTTTTGTTAAGAAGCTCTGCATTCTGCAAATGTCAAGCAGAGGTAGACCCCATCCTTACTGAAGGTCATTTTATATCATTTCAGCTCGGACGGTGCTTATGGTGGCTGCGTCTAGATGGATAACATTGACTTCCTCTACCCTAAAATATTTCTATAATACTTTGAGCTATTCTGGTTCCTCCAGGGTTCATGGTACACATTTACCCCAAGTATGATCAATTCCCTTTTTTTCTCATTTTCAGTCCTTTTGGAATGTTCCCTGTGAACCCAGACATATTGTTTAAAGCCTGCAGTTCTTCTGGTTTCTGTTTGAAGGGTGCTGTTCAATAAAACTGTGTACACTCAATGTGTTTCCTCTGAGTGGGCCTTGCTCTGTCCATAGGAGGTTTTAATAAGGTCTCGTTATTTGACTCCCTCAGGTTACCTGAGGGGATAAGTGCAGCCAGCCCTGTGGCTGAAGAGCATTCACTCATAAAGCTGTATGTAAATCAGCTTGACCACGGCGCACGGTCAGTATCCCGGCCTGGAATCACTAATTGTAGCAGTAGTTCCGTAGCTAAACTGCTAGTCACTCTACTCCAGCACTAAAATCCTCTTGTCGCATGTCTTACTGGAGATGGAGGTCTTCCGGGGTTTTATGGGATTCTGGTGAGAATATCCAACTTGAGCTGCACGGCTCAGCTCTTTCCTCTCTCTCTACTCATTCTATTGATTTTGCAGCCTCATGGCAGTACATCTGAGATCTGAACATGTGAAGAGTGCCAAGTGAAATCTCACTTGCCTATGTATCTACTTTGTACAAGACCCCAGATGGTGATTTAGAAGACTCCTAAATTAAGGAGCCTCTTTGGACTGATTGTTAGCCCTAACTGGGAGAGGCTAGGGCAGTGCCATGTGGCTGGATCTATTACAGTAAAGATAACAAGACTTAACCAGTCTTAAGATTTTTTGTCTCACTGAGCCGCAGGGAGAGCAGTCTGAATCCAACCGAAGAAGCTATTTCAAACCCAGTTTCTTGCTATCAGTGCTTAATTTCTGTCAATAATGCTTGGTGGTGATCCACCTTTGATTTCTTAACCATGTCAGGACACTAAGGTAGGTGTAAATCCATTCTTCCAGATCTAGGCATAAGCCTAAGATCGTATTGGAACAAGACCAAAGAAATATGACCTAGGCTCTGCCCTCACTCTATTCCACCACCACCATCAATTTTAAAATCAAGAAAAACCCTTGCAATCCAAGAATCATGTGATCAGTAGTATATCAGCATTAAGAAAGTAGGGAAGTTTGCCATACAGATAATTTATTAAACCTGAGTTGTCAGTCTTTCGTATTGTGATAAATCATAGAAAAATAAAGCAGAGTGGGGATAAATTGAAATCATTGCTCCAAAATCCTCACTGCAAACTCCTGGTATTACTCAACTTGAATCCTTTAAAGAACATCGCTTTGATCTTCAAAAGAAGCTAGGGTATATCTTTGAAGTCTTTTGACATCTTAGTCCTCTACCTCACACAGATTTACAAGTGTGTACCTCTGGTTACCACCACCACTGATTGCATCCTCTGTTCTGATATCCTTTTCTAGCTATTCACTTGATCGATTTTTCCCTTACTTGAAAGAAGACATTCTCCCTTAGTCCTCTGAAGTCTTCTTGTGTGTGTGTGTATGACTGTGTTTGTGTGTGCACACACATATGTATACTCACTGCTAGTTAGCAGTTAGGTGGGATATAGGTCAAATAACATAACTCACGAGCCAATTCAGCTCACTCACTTTCTTAGTCATAGACTGGATACCTAAATCTAGATTGTTTTCTTATAAATGTATAAGAAAGAATGGTTGGACTAGTAGAGATCTGTTGTCACCACTAGGAACACAATTACAAGGGCTATGTGTTGTAGGCCAGCAACATTACCTGAGCTTATGAAAGGTAGCATGCTATCATTGCAATATTATAGCAAGGACTGACCACAAAGGCAGGCCCAAAAGCCACTCGGCCCCCCTCACTTTGCACAGCATTATGCCTCTAAGGATTTTCTTTCTTCAATGACACCGTGTCTCCATTGTAAAATCTTAATTATCTTGCCAAAATATTTGCTTAGTTTATATGAGAAGGTCAACTAGTTCCTTCCCGTGTTAAATAAGTCTCTTTAATCATGGGCCATATTCATTCACCACAAAAGGAATGTTGAATGTTTAAATGGCTAGCTTTTTGACCTCCAATATTTGGAACTGCATTCAAAGTTTCCACAGATATTTTCATAGTTGCAACTCCTGAAGTGGTAACCACTCACAAAAGGATTCACTTTGGCTATTATACATAAGATCCAGTCAGACCTGCTCACTTTACCACATGTTATAAAATAGCTTATTCTTCATATATTGTGTTAAATGCATTCTGATAAGCTGTTTTCTGGTTTGTCATAGTACAAGTGATTATTCGGTACTGTGCTCTAGAGTACATTTGAGGAGGACACACCTCCCACACTAAGCAATTCCCAAATCCTTATTCTTCCAAGGGAAGAAGCAATTGTGTGGTTTTTTTGTTGGTTGACTGCTTGATCAGTTGATTGATTGGTTTGGGTTTTCAGCCAAAGGGAGGCTAATTCACTAAGTCTTTTTCAGTCTGTGCAAACTCTTGCTGATTCTTTGTCTAACAACCCAGTCTTTAAATCTAACTTCAAAATGTTCTAACTAGATTTTAAGCTTTTGTGATCTGGTAATCAATAGTGACTAGAAATAAAGTTCTGATACCAAATTCAGCCTTTGTCTCTGAATATCAAAATATTCTTCATGGATAATTTTGTCTGTGATTAAAGCCTATCCATTTTTAATCCTAAAAATAGACAAATTTATAAGTCAACATCTGGTACCACTCAGAAGGTTTCCTCAATCTTTTAATACGTTCTGGGTATGTTGTGTGAACTTTCATGAAATTTGAATGAATCACCCTCTGCAGATTATATTTTGCTTTATGTAGCCCCAGAGCTCCATTAATATGCTAGATACTTTTTCAAACTTTACTGAAACTAGTCTTCACACTCAGTTCTAACAGTTTGGTATACTTAAATGTTAGTGCATAATTAAAAACATAGTTGCCTCTCTTTCTTACTTCAGTAACCTTTATTCTGTTACTAGAGTTGCTTTAGTTATTATCTCTGCATGCTATATACCCTGCAAACTCTTCTAGAGGCTCTGTTGGCAAAAATGTAATTAGTATGAGGTGGTGATATATGGGGACAATGTGGTAAATGTAGTGAATCAAATATGACCTAAGAATTCTTATTCTTCCATGGCACCTGCTTCAAATGATTCAACTTTCATGCCAGCCTAAATTGATAACACCTAATTTTCCCACTGAGATGCCAACCTATTTTTTATGCTTGTATATTTATTTGCATGGAGAAGATATTTTATATTTCAAATACAAACTATTGAAAGAAAGAAAAAGAGAAATAGAATGTTTCAAGAGATTATTTCTTGACAAAACTAATTTCTAGGCATCTAGACTTTTTATTGTATTTAAATTACCTAATGACCTCATTATTAGACTGTGTTGATTACAGTGAGGAACAAAATAAACATCCACAATTGAGAGTCCAGAGAAGTTTTTCAGTTAATTTAAAACCAATAGAAATGAAAATACAAGTATCTGTTCTTATTTTGCCATGATTCCCATATAACTTTCCTTTCAACTATTGTAGTTATAATTATTCTATTACATAATTTGTTTACATAATATTCTTGTTCTGTGAGACTGTATCCAAGCCTTTAATACCATATTCAATGAAGAAAATATCTTTAACCAGAGTTAATGTAATAATACAAGCAGAAATGGTTTCACAAAACATATTTCAGGTTTATGCAAAAACCCAAGGAACATTTGTGTATGTTTTTATTATTTTAGAATAACTCAAAAATGTTTCTATTAAAGTAAAAATACTGGCATCAGTTTCTGCCCTCCAAAATCAAGGAGAGAGTTTTAAAAATAAATTTGAAGTATTTTGAAATTATTGCATCCTTCTAGAACCCACTGTGTCAATCTTGGTATATGTGTATGTGGTGTGTATGTGTATGTGTGTGTGTGTGTGTGAGAGAGAGAGAGAGAGAAATTTGACATGAAGGCTATTTATCTTTAAGCATACTATTTTTTGCAGAGTTTTAAAAGGAATTTTTGAGAAATAGAGAATGTTTTAGATAAAAATAGAAAAATAGAATCACCTCTGCCTTTTTTCTTTCAGTGGAACATAAACTTCAAAATTTGCTATTCTGTGCCCTCCAGGGTACACAGCAATAATATGTGTGCAAAGGGATGTGTATATACATTGGCCAGAGCCTAGTGAAAAGAAAATAGAATACACACACACACACACACACACACACACACACGTGTTGGGATGTAGTCCTGCTTCTCCTCAGATGAAGACTGGGTAAGATGTATCACCCATTGGATCCAGTTAGTTCCCAGTTCAAAGGCTAAAGGGAAGAATGCATTTTGATTTGAGGACAGAGCATGCAGAGCAAGGAGAAGCTTTTTGAGCTGGAGCTGCAGCTAAGGGAAGTCACTGTTGCAGTCTGGTACACGGATGTGCTGGAAGCTGTCCTCCCTTACCAAGTAGGTTCCAATGTGCCTGATCCTAAAACTCACTAGAAATTGGAAATACCTCTTAACTTCTCCATGCAAACTATCAAGTTACATGATGAAAGTTTAAGATGTTAAATTGTGCCATAAAATTTTGTGAGAATATGTTTCTTTGAAGGGATCCTAATACACTATTCTCCAAAGAAAAGCAAAATTTACTTTACACCCTTGTTTAAGCTCTTTGTGTGCTTCAGAAGAGCTTCTAGCAATAAGGTACCTCACTCGGAAAAAACTCTAAATATCCAAGTTTTAAGTTAAACTTGTCACTTGGTCAACTGTCTTAATTCTTGATCCTTTTCATTTTGGAAGAGTGGACATTTTTTCTTTGTTTGCATCTTGCACTTGGTTGCCTCTGTATGCATACATATTGTTGGCTTCCCAGAAACAAGTAACAAGAAGAATATGAGACTAGCTCTAGGAAATATAGAAACTTTTTGCACAGTGACTACTATAAGTCAGAAATGTTCCTGGCATTTCTCATAAGAGATATACCAAAACAAAATAGTTTATTTCTAGAAAGTTCTCAACATGCATAGTGTAACCCCTATATTTTCCATGAATGTTGTTCCCAAGAATTCATGTGGAAAACAGAAAGAAAATAAGAATGTTTAAATGATTTCCTTAAGCAACACTGGCAAGAGCCAATGCAAAAAAACTGACAGCAGAAGCAAAGGAGATGTGTATATGTGGAATTTCTGTTGATCACTCTCTTGAAGGAAGGAACCAGGTAAGAAGAAAGAAAACAGAAGAGGAGAAACAGGTGAATGAATGGAGTATAGGAATTAGTAGAGGCCCCCAAAGGAAAATCTGGCCAGTTGCCCTTCCTGCCAGCCTGCCCCCTGCACAGCACAGATGTCAGCAGGTCACCTCCAGCCTGTTCTCTGTCTGTGAGTGGTGGAACAGCGTTTCTGGACCTTTATTGATAAATTATCTTTTTCCCATCAAACTTCACCAGAACTTCTTTGTGGTTGGCCTTCCTGTATTTCTCTTCTCCACTGGCTCCTTCTGTTAATCTGGTATATTCAGCATCAAGTTAATTTACCTGTATAGTTATTAGCCTGTTGGTTGAAGAACTATTGCCACAATTTCTGGGATTCAAAGAACAAGGAATCATCGGTATCAAGGCAGGAAAATTGGTTAGTTTGGAAGAAAGAATCATTGGTATCTTACATAGTGTTTTGAATTGTATCTAGAATCAATTATGCCATAGATATATCTATCTTAAGCTAAACTATAAAAAAATATTGGGGGGATATTGGACAGCAGGGAGACTGGAGTTACCATGTAGTGAATATATGGAAATACTCTTTAGTAGACAAACTATGGAATGCTGTTTTGGTGACATAATGGTTTATCATAGAAAAGACCAACTGTGATGGCAAAAACGTAGTTTTGGGCCCTGATGGGTAGATTTCACAGTCTTTGTATTGTTACTTTAGAAGGTAGTATTAGGTTAGTATACTCAGAAAACTCTTTGTGATCCATCAGAATACTCCAGATCATTATTTTTAAAGTTAATTTTGTTTGCATTCAACTGTACAGCAATACTTTGTGTAACAGGTAGACTTCCCAGAGTGCCAAGTGAAATGTCATACATTCAACAAACATAAATGTCTACTCTGTGTGAGACCTTTTCTTTATAAATCAAATGTGATATTAAATTTACTAGAGAATTCACTATTTAAATAATCTTTTAGTATACAGGGTACTTGAAAAGTTCATGGAAGTTGCATATGCATAGATTTCAGAATTTTTTTCCACCAAAGCAATTTTTATTTCAAATTTTCTACAAACTGAAGTATCCAAAGATATTATTATAGAATAAGAATTCTGATAAGGATGTGCATAATTCTAATGTGATATTCATGTACAAATTTCTACTTTTTAGTACTTCACAGCTTGAAAACCTGACATATTTTTAGAAGAACCTTAAAATCTATAGCTAAAAGATTTTAAGGCTTTTAACTCCCTAATAAGCCATATAAAATGTTACTTTTTAAGCATACTAGTATTTATGAGTATGTATATTCATGTATAGATTTATATGTATGTGATTTAGAACTTACTGGAAATTTCTGGCAAAACCACATGATTTAGATTCTAATAATTAACCAGTTGATATCCAAACAAAGCTGTACAATTTATTTGCATTTTCCATGAAGGAAGAGAAATATTTAGCTACACTAATGTGTGAACAAATTCTTACTTAGCCTAAAAGCAGCAAACCCTTTAAACTCATTATAGTAAGAATGAACAGCATACTTTCTAATGAAGCACACCCATTTAATATAGTAAACCTCAGGTAAACTTGGTTTAACCACACTTAATTATTTATATTTACATTTGTTCTTTAATAAAACTATATTTTAAACTTAAAACTATTATGTAAATTATTAAATAAAATGGATATTCCCCATACTGAATCTGAAGTGTTAAGAATTTGGTGACTGGACTTGATTCACTGGTTATGTATTAAATAGGCACAAGAAACAAATACCTACTTATAAGGCTTTAAAGTGTCTTTCTCTGTTTCTCTGAAAATTTTCCTTGTCACATCATAGCCAGGGTCAGATGAATCGTAAAGCAATCCCCCACTTGCTAATTTCCAGGTATCTACTCAACAGACAGCTGGAGACTTTATGGGAGAGTGGGAAGTAAATTACTTGAGTGGGATATGAGGGCTGGTGGGACTTCGTGAGCTACTGGACTGTTCACATGATAACTGTAATAAATGTTGAATGAATGGTCATGATGCTAGGCAGATGTGCTATACATGCTGACTTGTTAAGCAAATGGAAAAGGTCAAACCTGAGACTATGATGGCTTGTGTGTCACTGTAATTGTTCTCGGGCCAGGTTTCTACTCCTAGTTGAACTCTCAAGAAATATGAAAACAGCTTGAACATTTCAAAATAATAAGCAATCTGTCCAAATGAAGCTTGGATCTAGACATGGGAGTTTCTGTTGCCAGTTTCTATTCTTGAATGCGTTGCTGTGTTTACGCTCTTCTTGGCTTTCCATCTTATTAACTAGCTCTCCTCCCAAGGACAGTGAAGTAGAGCAGAACAAAATGCTGGCTAGGGCTGCTCCAGCGTTTCTGAAAGGCAAAGGGTAAGTTAAAGCCAGAGTGTACTGGAACTCTGAATTAACTAAACTAAAAATGGAGTTTCTCTTGTCAAAATTGCTTTGTGTGTGAAAGACCAGCTTTGATTTAGTAAAAAGCAGTTCTATTGTAACCTAATTAACAGCGGCAAGCAGTAATTTCAATTGGACACATCTGTGTTGTTATTCGCTTCCCTTGACTTCCTTTTCTTCTTCTTCTTTTTTTTAATGACTAAGCTAATGATTTGATTTTCCAAAGCATACTTAATCTTTGCTGGCAACCCCTTTCATTGTGCTTACTGTACAGTTGAATTCCTGGGCCTTACTGCTTGAAGAATGCAAATCTGTTTTCTAAAAAATTGCTTCACCAAAAATTTTCACGTTAGTGAAGTGGCATTGTGAATTTCACTGTTTGGATTTTGCTTGTGTTTTCCATAAAACATCACTTGCAACTCTTCCTTTACTTGCTGGGCTTCCTAATACCTTTTCTACTGCAAACTCACTCCAAGCTACTTTGCTTTTTTCTGGCCACCTTTCTTAACCACACCCTTTCTCTTCCTCCTCCCCTGTTTCAGGATACAGTACAGCCTGAATGTGGCAGACAGGCTAGCTGATGAACATGTTCTCATCGGGTTGTATGTCAACATGCTCCGGAACAACCCATCATGGTTAGTGCAGGTTTGGCTGCTTGACTGTTCTTAGAGAGGGGAACAGTCAGAGCTGGTGACAAGCAGTCTCAGCAAGAGGCTAAGTCCCCGCATGACAGAGGTGTCACCAAGGCATACTTAAACTGATTTAATTAAGAAGAAGTCTTCTGTGGCGTTAGTTTGGATACTTCCCATTAAAGTACCCAAGAATTTATGTCATCATTTATATCTGATCTAAAGGGAAAACTCACATACATTGATGTTGTGCTAAATCTTGGCATTCAGGTGGTGCAGGACTCTGGGTCCCTGCGTGCATCATGTCAGTTACAGCAGGATGGTCATGCAAGAATTTGTCTTATTCCAGGGATAATATCTCTGTTGATCTAGGGGGAAAATGCTTCATTTCACCTAGGATGGAAGTAATCAAAGAGATCAAGTGATGTGCTGTGCTCATAAAATGGAAATTGTTTTTATTTTTAGTTTGTGTGCTTGTGTATTTTTAACTTTTTACTTTGAGAAATTATTCATTTCTGTGTAGTTGCAAGAAAAAAATATAGAAGTCATGCTTACCCTTTTGTTGCCTACCCAAGGAGTAATGCCTTACACAATTATACAATATCACAACAGTGGCAGAAATTCTTTCAACAATTCTATTACTTACAAATGTTTCTGAGTAACTGACTTTTAAAGCCTACTTTTAAGTCCCAGAATCTGCCAAACTTACTTTCACATGTGTTAATTCCAGGAATTTAGATAGTCCTATATAAGTATAAAAGCACTCATAAAGTGTTTTTTATTTTAGTTTTGACGTAGAATATTCTTCCCATTAAGTTACTTGATTTTAATAATAAACATGTATTTGTAATTTGAGCAAAAGTTAGAGTAGGCTATCTCAGTTTTGATTATTGTTATACAACCATACCAGGGTATTTCAAAAGATGAGAAATGGTATTAAATAATACATTTATTTTTGATGCAAAAAATTTTGAAATCCATGCATAGTTTTTCAGTAATATGCATTTGCCATGAACTTTTTAAAGACCACCTCCTGTAATGCATGGATTTCCAACATTTTTGCAGCAAAATAATTCCACCTTTCCCTAAACTTTTTGAAATTCCCTCCTATACAGCAAACTCATTCCTTGGCAATATTTCAGTTTTACTTACCAATTCCAATTCTGTCTAAACTAAGGGCCAATGGATGGTATATAGTGATGACTGTAATGTGAGTCAATGAGTTAAATTCCCATTAAAATTACACCTCCAGCATAGCAGGTTGCCTTTCGTCTACTATTTCACAAAGGCCTCTCTCAAACATGCAGGGTATTGCATGGTGTACATCACCCTCACAGCCTTGTGGTGTTCCTGTCTAGAACTCTCTTCTCACCGTTTCCAAAGCACCCCCCTTTTGCTACTGCTGACGCCTTACACCCATTTTCACAAGATGAGTACCTGAGACAAGCTTAGGTCTGATGAACTAATGAACAATGATTTGATTTAACATATGTGAATGAACTTCAAAAAGTTCATGGGAAGTGGAATTAAAAGATAAGTTTATTTTGGTGCAAAAAAAAATGTTGAATCCTTGCACAATTTTCTCATAATTCTCATTTCCATGAACTTTTTTGAAGACTACTTGGGTATATGTTTGTATTTTAAATACATATATAACCTGAATACCAGTATAATTTTATCATACATCCTGCCTCCTAGGAATGAACTCCTAAGCTACCCTAAACCTATCTGTGTTTAAATTGTATGATCTTCTAGATTAAATATTATCTACTCTCAGAACTCAGTCTCTGAAAACTACAAGATTGCTTTGATCTGATTCTAATGAGTTTGATGCCACCATGTTATACTGTAGCTGCAACAATAGAACTAAATACTGAATTACCAAAAAAAAAAAATGGTATTGGTAATCTTCAAAGAAAATATAGTCAATATAGATTCCGTCATAAGGCAATAATGTCATCTCACACCGTATCCTCTTCCCCATAATTCTGAGTACCTTCTAGGTATTGCCACTATTCTTTGCCGCAATCAAATACTTAAGGTTGTAGTAACAAAGAAATTTCCAAAGAGAAAAGCTCAGAGTTTGTCCCTACCAGCTGTTTTCCCTATTTGAGTGATTAATCATGCTGACTTGATGGTCACTTAAGACCATAAAACTGTCTCACAAAGACACCTTCCATCTGCTTGATAAAAGCTGGCTGTGATTTGTATTTTGAAAACAAAGCAGAAGATGAATCAATGATGCAGACTCTGACTTAATAACTTCTCTCAAATATTCCTCAGGGCTTTTTTCCTGTCCTTAAATTATTGCCACTTCTCTTAAATTTCTCATTTTCCCTTCCCTTTCCTTTATGTTTAATTAGATCTTAACAGTTCCTCACAACGGTCATAGTTATGTAAGTGGCAGAGGGATCTCTTGCCCCCTTTATCATCATGGAAGCCATCACATTCCACCATCATCAGTCAGTGAGGCATATAATAATGGTAATAATCATGGTAATAATCATCCTAGCTAGTATTTTTTGAAGTACTTGCTTCACAGTGATCCCTGGGCTGGACATTTTATGTACATTAAGTTCTCCCAGTCCTTAGAGTACGTTCATGGAGTACATATGAGGGGTTCTTCAGGAATTTCATGGAAATGTGTGTTGTGAAAGAATTATACATGGATTTTTAAAAATATTTGTACCAAAATCAACTTTAGTCCCATTTGCCACGAGCTTTCAGCAGTGCCTTTATTGAACCATCCCCAATTCTTTTAAGTAAAGATTTTAATTTAGAGGTCTTACCCTATTCACCCACAATCACACATCAATTAAACAGTCCCATAGAGATTTAATCATCACTCATTCAAGCTAAAAACCACTATGCTACACTGCCTCTGATACAACCTGTGTGGACACAGGCCCTCCAGAAAGCCTTTGTAGAAGACTCCTCCTCCTACATCCCCCACGTGCTCATTGACTAAAACGTCATATCCTACTATTTCATTTACTTATAACAAATTTTGAGCACATACTGGTAATAGGAATAGTGGTTGTTCATAAGTTATCTTTTGTGTATTTAGTTCTATGAATTCTAACTTCTCATTTAAATTGTAAGCTTCAAAAAGGCCAAAAAAAGTTTTTAATGTCTTTTATCTCATTCCCACAGCTAGAATAGGTAGAATACATTTTACATCCATGAAGCTCTTCAGAACTTATATAGTCCTTTCCCAGACCTTATTTAATTTGCTCATCACAGCCCTAGAGGGTAGACTATTATTATTTCCATTTCACTGGCAAGAAAGTACAAGCTTCACGACATTAGTGGCTCATGCAGGGTTACATGCTAGCAAGGATTTGCACACAGGTCTACTGACACCAGCTCCCGTTTATTTTCCTCCCATTCCTCTACCTCTGCATCTGTGGTCCCTTTGTTTCTGTTATTATTCAGACATGCTCATGATTAATTCCGTATGAGGATCTTCTACCCTATGTTATCAACACTGTAGGAAGCTTACTTATTTGCAGATAGCCCATTGCTAAATTCAACACGGATGCTGCCGCTGGTTCTAGAAGTCAAAATGCAGCTCAAGGGAGAATTTCTGCTGCCTTCCTAATTCAGTGAATTTTTATAAGCCTTATAATTATAAGCCTTGGCCGGCGCCGTGGCTCACTAGGCTAATCCTCTGCTTTCCGGCGCCGGCACACCGGGTTCTAGTCCCAGTCAGGGCGCCGGATTCTGTCCTGGTCGCCCCTCTTCCTGGCCAGCTCTCTGCTGTGGCCAGGGAGTGCAGTGGAGGATGGCCCAAGTGCTTGGGCCCTGCACCCCACGGGAGACCAGGATAAGTACCTGACTCCTGCCATCGGATCAGGGCGGTGCGCTGGCCGCAGTGCACCGGCCGCGGTGGCCATTGGAGGATGAACCAATGGCAAAAAGGAAGACCTTTCTCTCTGTCTCTCTCTCTCACTGTCCACTCTGCCTGTCAAAAAAATTAATTAATTAAAAAAATAATTATAAGCCTTAATAATTTTTAAGCACTCCATCCAACAGAGGAGAGAATTCTCAAAATATAATATGCTGAAGTTTTTTTTTTCTGCCCTCCCCAAAAGCTTTTCAGTGCCTGAGCTTGCCAGTGGCTTAGGGGGAAGGTGTGAGGCAGGCAGACCCAAAGACTGGAAGCAAATCTCAGAATTTCTACCTTTAACCACAATTATATTCTCGACACTTGCCATTCAGAAGTATCGAGTGTATTCTTCTCAACTCTGAAAAAGCCTGAATCTAACTAAGGGAGGGACTACAGCTGAAGGCTCCATCCTATATTTTGTTGTCATGATCAACTGCTGTCACTTGGTAGACTCCTGATCTCATATAACTAGATTAAATTATTCTGTCTTTTTCTCAAGAATAAGAAGTTATACCTTTTGATTGACATTAGATTTCTTGCTAAATGTATCAATAATCTAACTAGTTTTAACTTGTTCAACAATAATTTTTAAAGATTTATCCATTTATTTGAAAGACAGAGTTAGAGAGAGAGAGAAGGAGAGAGAGAGATTTTTCATATGCTGACTCATTCCCCAAATGACCTTAATGACCCAGGCTGGGCAAGGCTGAAGCCAGGAGCCAGGAGCTTCTTCCATGTCTCCCACATGGGTGCAAGGGCCCAAGAACTTGGGCCATCTTCCACTGCTTTCCCAGGTGCATTAGCAGGGAGTTAGATCAGAAGTGGAGCAGCCAGGAACTGGAATAGGTGCCCATATGGGATGCCTGTACTGCAGGTTATGGCTTAACCCACTGCACCACAGTGCCAGCCCCATTCCACAATATTTTATGCTTGTGGAGAGAAGATATCTACCTCATTCTAAGAATGCCTATTTTTGGTTTTCATATAGGTTGAAATTTCCATTTGCTTGCTGCTTAAAGTCATTTAACAGATTCCTGTCTCCCTTAGTTTTTTTTTTTTAACTTTTATTTAATGAATATAAATTTCCAAAGTACAGGTTATAGATTACAATGGCTTC